CTTCTACCTATTACCAAAAAATATATAGGTTGAATATAAATAAAATAAATTAATCAGTGGCGTTACAACCTCTTTAGGTCTTGGCCTCAGATTTCTGAATCTGTTTCATGATCATTTTTAAACTAAAAGGTAGGGGGGGGGCCGGCCCCCGGCGCCGGCGCGTCGACTTTTTGGGTCAAGACAGCGGCACAGATGTTTTCCTTCACCGTTGAACAAATGTAAAAGGGGCAAAAAGGAGGAAACCCATTAGTGCACAGCCGGGGCGAACCTACGACCTCAGGTATGAGAGTCGCACGCTGAAGCCACTAGGCCAACACTATCTATAGGTTGAATATACACATTCCATATATTCAAAAAGTCAGCCCAATCATACGTATAAAATACTTTTAGGTCTTAATATAGTGAAACATTCAGGCTCTCTGAAAACCATTTAACTTTTAGTGAACAGTGATTTAATCGAATAGATGCAATTCACCAAAAACCGCACAGATTATGCAGTCATTTGCATTTTATTGACGCTAGCACCGATATTGCTTTCACAGAGATTAGACTTGCAATGACAATATTTAAATAATCTGTAGAGGCTCTACAGGCTTGCATATAAATTCATTAAGCTTTAAATCAGATTTATTGTTTATATATAACAATAATTTCCTTAAACTATTATTTATTATAATAATAATTAATTAATAAGATGACCTAGTAATACGAATCAAAGAAATAAGCATTAATCAATTTAAACGTCTGTTCTTCTTCTAAGGTTTACATCAGATACCCTTGGACTAGGCCGACTGTTGGTCTTCTAGGAGGTTGTGAAAGTTGGTCTAAATTTACCTGATTAGAATGCACTTTAAAAAAAACGAGGAATTATATCGCTTGTGTTTGATTGCGTCTCTCAACCACAATCAAGCCATACATAAACATTGTGGTGGTATGCTACCGACTTGTAGAATATTTAGAATACAGCACACTACAGTGTAGCTTTGTAAGTTGATGGTACTGGTTTTGATTATAATTATAAAACAAATGTTTCAGGTTGGTATAGATAGCTAATCAACTTGCCTTAAGAAAAGGTAATTAAAAACATCAGAAATGTTATGTGTCTTTCCCCGGGATGTCTCTTTGTGTCATGCCCCAGGAAAATAAATAACATAGTACCCAGATGGGGTTTTATGACTTTTAAAATGAAACGATTTTGACTTCAGGGAATTAAACCAGGACGTTAGCGTAACTAAGCAACATGCACATAATTGGTCAACTGTCTTTTTTTTATCGAGCGAAACAGTGGTAATGAATAAAATGTTATTAAGTTACACAATTTTAACACAACAAACCCGTGAACCCAGTAAAAGTATTTTAAGCTCATTATTATTATTATTCATTATTTGTATTAATTTTCGATACTTTTAATATTTTAATAACAATTAAATTCATTCAATTCCTATATCTTCCTTTTTCCCTCCCTCTAAGTATCGGAAATCTAAAGTTTTAGGTTTGTATAAATATGAACAAGCCTTAAAGATTAGTTTGCCAACGAAGTTTCACTTCTGACATCACGTGTACTTTGTACGCACGCACTTTTTTTCTATTAGAATATTTGACACTTCTGAATATATAAAGGTTTAATTGTTTTTTGTTTAAAATATATCATCGATTCATATAATCGAAACTTAAGGTTTTTGATTTTTAATACGGGATATTACTTAGCGCAGAACCTTCACCTTTATGAGTAACCAGGAGGTCCTGGGTTTGATTCTCGGTGACTCTATAACTGTTTTGAGTTGGAAATCACTGACCTTCAGAAAAATCATCATCTCATAAATATTTTACTACTTCTGGGTCATATAGCATATATTTCTGAACATTAAGAAGCAAGCTTTATTCTAAACTTTCCCTCATTTTCCAAGCTAGTACATTTTAGTTAGTATTCTCATTACTTGAAGTTTTCACGAAAGTCCTTGAATAATGCATGATGAGGCGTTTGTCGCTTACTCATTTGTATGACATTGTAGGCAGGTATAAGGTATGGAAACGTAAAGTATATTATGTATTACATAGAATGCTAGTGTAGCTTTAAAATATATTATTACAATATCCAGTTTGATATAATATAACGTCAAATTTGGTAAAAAAAAACTTACTTCAACGTCCGTTTTATTGATTATAAAAACAGCTAATGTTTAGTTGTGATTCTTTTGTAATAAAAAACATGAACCATAGATAGTCACATAAAACAAAATATTCAGAACATTGTATTCTTAGGTTGTGTAATTTGGAAGATAGATGTATCCTCCATTTTACCTGGGTGTTTTCCGAATATAAAAATATTTATTTATTTTATTTTAGGAAAACACACCGCTTTCAAGACAGTTTTCACAAATGCTTTTATATACAAAATGCCTAGCGATTTCACTAAACTTTCAAATCTAATCTAAGGGTCCGTTAATTTTTCTTGAATGAAAGCAAGACATGATGATTCGTTATTTTAAAAGAGTACCAAGATTTTTTTACGCCGTCTTTTTCTCTCGGCCTACACCCTCTGTCTTCTTTGCCGATGAGTAGGGATGCCTACAAATTCAAATTTAATTACGTGGAATAAGTGATACATGTATCTTATGTTCCATAATAAACATATTTATTTATTTTTTTATTTACATATTTTAGTACGTTTTTCCGTACCTTTTATGTTACTTTTTTTTCTAATAAGTATATATACTATATTATTATATTAATAAAACTCACTCGAGGACAAACGGTCAGGAAGCTTATATTATTTTATTACCTAGTACATTTGTATTTATTACATACTATATGTTTATACCAGATCTAGGTAAAAGTAAGGCATCAATAAATTAACAAAAAAGGATAAATTTAATAATAAATATTTATCCAAGATATTTTTATATTCGCCTTTAAGTCTTTGTTGTGTACATTGTTGGCTTACATACAGAAAATATAGCCTCCATTTAGAATTATACTCTATCGTTAGGACTTAAGGTTTAAAATACTTTATCACGCGACAGATTTTTGGCTGAAATATTGTTACTGTGAGCTATATTGGAACGGAATAGAAGTGTAATCTAGCTTAAAACGTCTTGGATGATATAGTCCATGCTAGCCTTTGAAAATTTCAACTACTTTTGGTCAAAACGCTCTTAGAAAATATTCCAAGAATTATTGGTCGGAACAATTTTATTTATTTGTTAAAATTAAAATACTTAAGATTACAAGACTTGGATTTGACGTGTCTTGATACGCAATACAACAAACTGACATGTAGTAGGAAACGAGAAAAAAACATTATTTGCAATTTCTTAATCATCTTTAAAAGTCAAAAATCAGCAAAAATTGTTTTAAGTTTATTTACAAAAAATACACATATACAATAAATTAGAAATAACAAAGAATATTAATAAAAAAAATAACTAACACTCTGACAAATAGTAGAATGTTAAGCTCTTAACCGACAATGAAAAAGGTCCGTTAACCTACGAAGTTAGTTATTGTAATGCACCGTATAATATATGCCCTTTTTCAGTGAATAGTTCTAGGCGTGGGTAGATATAGTAACAGCGGCATATGGCTTTTCCTAAGGTTAAGGCAGTAGTACTGTCAAATTGCTGTCTTTGCCATGTAATATTTTTTTTAAATTTGGACATACCATAAGAGGTGCAGATAAATGGAGCAAAATTGTAACACTATGGCAACCAAGAGGCCATAAAAGAAACAGAGGTAGGCAATTTAAAAGGTGGGCCCATGAAATCAAGAAATGGCTGGAAAAACCTGGACGAGATTGGTATACAATAAGGAAAAATGGAGGACAATGGGGGAGGCCTTTGCCCGTAGGCACACAGAATCAGTTATCGTCGATTAAGATAAATAACAGTTATAATGTATATATTTTGTGTTTCTGATATAAGACTGTAAATAAAATAAAATATTTTTTTTAAATACATGGCAATGGCAATTTCTCTGAGCGTACTCTGAGCCCAAAGTAGTAAGAATAAATAAGGTCTGATATATGAGGGGTTCAAACGGGTACACTTCGTACATCCTAAGATAGATGCCTTAAAAATTGTTTTGTAACAGTTCCAGCCATAAACTTTGTTTCATAGGGAGTCCAATAATAAAATAATATCAAATATTCCTTTGTATTATAGTGCATTTAGTAATTGTGTAGCGACCTACAATCTTGGGCTACAAATCAGTACCTACCCTGAAACGCGCTAACAAAGTTACTCTAACCGCTAGTCCCTAGGGCCTCCGGGCCAGTCAGTGATTAGAGATCTTGTAGGTCCGTGGAAAACTCCATTCTTCCTCCACAGGTGAAGAATTATGTCGTTAGAACAAATTCGATACAGAAACACAAATGTTTCCTCAATAGCATATGTTTTCAAAAAATCTGTTACATTAAATTCAAGTTGAAATGTCAAATGGAGACAGTGAATTAAATATCTATGAAACAAATGAATTCGCATGCAAACGAATATTGCATTCAGTTATTTCCCAAAGTTAATAACATGGACGATAAAATACAGGCAATCAATCTATCGCGATTTTCAGGTATGTTAGGATATTTTTAAATGTTAAGAAAATTTGAATTTAAGCTTGATAATATTGAATGAAAATAAACAAACTAAAATTACCGTCCACGTTGAAAGGAAAATAAATGTTTTGGTTCACAAACGCGATATAAAGGATTAAAATATATTTAAATACTGCTAGTAATTCTTTAAATGTTCTAATAATTATTACACATCTAATATTATTAATATTATGTAATTTAAATATCTAAAAACCGAGTCGGCAATGCAATTTTTTTTTACTATTATTTTTCTATATGGTCAAGTAATTAATTGTATTGTTTCTGTTAAATGATTCTTGAAATGGAACCGAATGTGCAACTACAGTCTGCCTGTGGCAGCGGCTAAATTATGAAAATATTAATTATTCCAGTACCCATACTATTCAGTATAATATGTGTAACGATGTGTCACAAAATGAGACGGCAACATGTCGGCGATGAGTTCAAAGATGAGGGCCTCAATACGTTGGTAACACAGGAGGTAGATGCTCGAGATATTGCTGCTAACAGGTATAGGCCATCATTGATAGATCTATGAAGAATTCAGGAAAACCAATTTTATTTTATTTTATATCAAATAAGTGATTCACTCGTAAACGCAAATAAAAAAATCATATTACTCGTAGGTTTTAAATATTGACTGACTAGTAATAAAGTCTAGACTGTACATCAAGGACAAGAAATATACATAAACTTGTACAGAATACATAATATTAAAAGCTGACACTTTATCTTGCTATGTGTACAATTAAATCAATGTTTCTGACTATACGTCTCGAAAACCTTTTAAAAAAATACTTGTTTAAACCCTTATCAATAATAAGAACAATAATATACAATAACAATAGTAATATATAACTTATTTCATAATACATTAAAATGACACGCACTGTTATATTTAACTTATGACGCAGAAGAAGTACCAATGAGACACTCTGTGTGTTTCATTAATAGTTTAGTAAGGCACGATCGCGTAGATTAGCTTTGAATCTAGGTTCTACGAGTTCTAAAAATACTTATTTATTTACGTGTACTATTAAATAGGTTATTTTATTTTCGCATTATATTCGATATTTACAGATTTACCCTACCAACTACGGCTACAAAGAGGCTCTTACGGACAACACCATACCGTGTGTCATTCGCAGAAGACTGTGATTATCTCGTACACTACTGTCTCAGAGCGTATTCGTATGTATGCACGCCCTCTCATGAAATTTAGATAATTAATGTCTGTGTTTACCATCAAGTTAATCACTATTATATATAGTTAACAAATAAGATATTTGTATTACAGCCTAATTTGTTCCATCCGCGTCCAATAATAGGCTCCATCAGAAGTTAAAGTCAAATTCTTTTGCAGTTTTGGGGGTAGTGAAATACTCTCATATTACCCTAAGAATGACTGTAATAACGTATCAGTCTGTATAATGTCTATATACTGATACTATGGATCAGTAGGTATATATAAAGAGAACTGGATTAAAATATTAACCTTTGATGCGAAATAGATCAGTTTAAATATAAATTAATTATGGTCTAAGATCCCGATATACAACGACCTTCACCGAGATGCTTATTTAATGAAACGTATTTTATATTTAATTTAATATGTCAATAAATATAATCCATATGGGTTGCCTAGCAAATTCCAGTCCAGAGTATTTTAATTAATATAAAAAAAAAAAAAATTTTAACATTTCACCGGTGTGATTATTAGATAAATTCTATACCAATCGAAAGTATGAAGCCCATAGAATATGCAAACGTTAGGTTGTTTTTAATCAATTAATTATTTATGTGTATATTTTTTATGTGACACTAAAGTATATATACATCTTTAGTAAAAAAGAAAGTTATAGTGATACATATAAAATACTACCCTGATTAAAAATATTGATTGAAAAAAATTAAAAAAAATTACTACATGCAAATTATAAAAAAAAATTTTTTTTTAATATTAATTAAACATACTCTGGACTGAAATTTGCTAGGCAACCCATATGGATAATATTTATTGACATATTAAATTAAATATAAAATACGTTTCATTAAATAAGCATCTCGGTAAAGATCGTTGTATATCGGGATCTTATACTATTATAAATATATGTGTATTGAGTAAGAATTTATATTGTAATTAAATTTGTAACCCACAGGACCGGAGAATTATGCGCACGGACATTATTCTATACATACTATACATTTAAAAACTATTGTCTTATGGATTTTGTTAATTGCATGGAGCGGTATGAAGGTTATAACTTATATTTAAACATAATATGTAGCTAAAGCAATATAGGAGCATTGCTAGTGTGGATTTGAAGGAATTGGACATCTCTGTGGCCTTTTACTTGATTTTTAAGATAAATATTATAATAAGATAAATAGCTTTCTGTGCCTTTCATCCCGATATACTTATTGCTTTGGGAATCGGGTTAAGCACTAAGCGACAGTCATATTTCTCAATAATGAATAGACAAATTAAAACTATACACTTTAAAAATCGCTTCATATTAAATAAAATAAAAGAACAAAATAATATTCTTAATACGAAGATAAAACGGACAACTGGAATTGTTTTTTTTTACATCTAATATATAAAATTCTCGTGTCGCGGTGTTTGTAGTTAAACTCCTCCGAAACGGCTTGACCGATTCTCATAAAATTTTCTGTGCATATTGGGTATGTCTGAGAATCGGACAACATCTATTTTTCATCCCCCTAAATGTTAAGGGTAGTCCACACCTAAATTTTTATTTTTAGATAAATTTTTATTTTTATATTTTTTTATGATACAGCATTAAAAAATACATACAACCCCTAATTTTCACTTCTCTACGATCAACCCCTATGTTTTATTATAAATGATATACATGGAAAAACGACGTTTGCCAGGTCAGCTAGTTTTAATATAGACTTCTTGAAACAGCAAGAACTGGTCGTTTTTTACCATTGTACCGCCGACTAAGGTGCTTCGACCGTAAGGTTTCAGTCTACTCAATTTCGTCTTGTCCAAATAAAATATTATTTCATACAAATGTCGAGCTCAGATTTCTTTACCTGCTTCATTTATTTTTATAGGCAACCTTCTATATCCAACGTTATCGATTTTCTGCTTAAACATGCCGAACATATCATTTAATATCTTTACTAAATATGAAATTTATATTTTTTACAGTATGGCAAGTTGTTCACATGGGACCATGTTTCAATATTACACCCCTAACAGAATACTTATGTAAGATTCTCAATTTAATTAATATAATTCCAATGTAAATTCGTTTTTTATAAGTTTATTTTTTACAGTATATCCCTATGATGATGATTACTTCTTGGACTTAGACTACGTAATGGAAGATCATTGAAAAAAAAAATAACATAAAAAATGCACCTTCAAGTATGATAGACAGGACACGATTTCTGTTGATAGTTAATAAATTGATGTAAGAGTATTGTTAAAGTTATCTGTGGACTTCGAGAGACGATAATAAATTTGAAAACTTAAGACAATTTGAATTTAGAATTCTTATACAATAAGTCGAAAGACCGCTGTAACTATAACAGCTAGGGAGCTGATGAGCAAAATATCTATATGATATGCTCATGTGGCAGACATTTTTAATAGCGATAATTATACGATAAGGAATATTGAGGAGCATGTCTACCACCATGGGAGCGCAGCGCTGTCAATTGACATCCCCTTAAAATGTAAAAAAGCAGGTATAATATATAATTTGCTCGTTGCGTCACTGCCTTTAAGGCTGATGTTTAGAAACCTTGTCAAATGAAAAAAAGGCATCTAGGACTATGACTTTTCAAGTTATGAAATTTTTTTTTTTAATATACATATATGAAATGCACGCTTGGCAGTTTGTTTTGTATTCAGGGAGTTCGAATAAATCGAATTGACCCAATTACAGCTACGAGCAAATGATTAGTAGAGCTTTTTTTAAATTGTTACACTACCTCCTGTGATTATGCAGATGTCTGCCTTATTACCAGGGGGGGGCACGGAAAAAATTTTATTTTTTTTTTTTTTTTTTTTTCCCCCCCCTTTTTTAATCTCCCCAAAAAAAACCCCCCCCCCCAAAAAAAAAAAAAAAAAAAAAAAAGAGGGGGGGAAAAAAAAAAAAAAAACCGCCGGAAAAACAAAAAAAAAAAAAATTAAATTATATTTATTTATTTTATTTATAAGTTTCCTTATTTATTATTTACTAGATTATTTAGGGTTGCCTGGAAGAAATCGCTTGTTAGCGATAAGGCCGCCCGTTGCCTTATAACTTTTGTAACCTGTTTTTTTTTTTGTTATGTTTATGTTTTTGATTAAGGTAATAAAGTATAAATAAATAATCATAAATATTTTTTATAAGCAATCAGCTTGCTACTATAGAATATCATATCATATTTTTATTTAGGTAATCAAAACATAGGCTTGAGCAGATTAAAGAATTAATTTAAAAGGATTCTTTTACCCCTGAGGGTTTGAGAGATTGAACCTTTCGGGGTCTCCATTTGTTTTATGTCAGTAATCCTTTTCCTTGTATCCTCAATGGAGTTTGAGAGGTAATAAAGTTAGACAAGGTGTAATAGATAAGATATCTTTTTATTTCGCTTAAAAAGATTACATTACATTCGGTTAAAAAACATTGTCATATAGAAGAGATAAATAATACAATTACAAGTTTGAAAAAAAAATTGCCACTTTAATACTTTTTAACAAATTAACTTTTTTGTAATAATTATTTGAGTGTTGCATAGGCAAAGTGTTAAAATCAATCGATTTATATTAAAAATAATACATTCATGAATATTCTGAAAATTAAAATTCGTGCGCAATAACGGCCTAAATTTTCATAATGAAACTTCTATAGCCGCTTTCAAAAATTATTGTTTAATATCATTATGTAAATAACGCATTACTTAATCCATACTTTGTAATATTTTTCTTCTTACTAGTGCCATCTCCTTGCGAAGGTTGGCGATCATCATGGCTAATTTAATTTTGGACACCGCGCTTCTAAACAATGACTTGGTGCTTTGGCTAAACCATTGTCAAAGTTTTTTTCTACCAAAACGTGCGCCTCCAGCCAGGTCTCCTACTTGCTACTTTGCCTTGTATGATTAGTTGTTGTTTTGATATTCTACAATTTGTATTTTCTCGTCCTAATTATTTTTCAACTAAAGAATATAAACGTTACTTAAGTAGTCTATTTTACTCAAGTAAACACTTTAAGTTGACTATACGTAACTTAATACTGTCAGTTTTGACAGCATGGACGGATCCATTATGTATTAAATTTGTAATACTGAAGTTATAGCTCAAGTGTTGCTTATGAAAATCTATTGTGATTGCTTAACTCTTCCATTTTATGTATTGTTTGTAACATAGCTGCCTCTGACATTTACCAATGCCAATTTTTCGATTATAGAATATAGTATATATATATATATATATAAAAATAGTACTACCCAAGTAGACAGGTAGAGGTCGACACTAGCGTCCTGCGCCCTTACTCTGTAACTTCCAGTAACGATTTTTTAAAAATGGAATCTTGCTGTCAGAAGGTCCTTGACAGCTCAGCTCGGGCTGTATCAGCAAATACAGCTATGCCGATAGCGACAGCAATACCAGACGTTTTTATATGCAGGTTCCATGTACTCCTCTCAAAAGCCGTAGTGCTGATGTTGTGTACCACGCGATTCCAAGATTCGCAACTCATTATTGGAAGTAGAGTAAGGGCTCTGTTCTGACATTTGTTTCTATATTACTTCGAAATAAGCACATGTTACTCACACATAATGGTGGAAGAAACTTTTCAGTTTATTTGTTAATAATAAAAAAAATTATAATACAATAAAAAATTAAAATATATAGGGTGGTCTAGTCAAATCCCATGATAAACCTAGACTTGGATTTATATTAACATGAGTACAATAGCTCATTTACATAAGTCCTATCAACCCTCGCTGACGTTGCATATAAGCCGCTTGGATCTAGGTTAAACAAATATAGTTAAGCCACCGGTTAAGTAAATATTATCTCGTTTTATGCATCATGCATTTTATTGAGTGAAATTGATTTATTGTAATGGTGATATTGACTTTGCTTTATTTTGCCGGCTTGCCTTGGAACCAAAAAAGTCGACGGCGTGTATGGGAGGCTGTCCAATTGCCTATTAGATAGACAAATAATGAAACGGATACAGAAATCTGAGGCCCAGACCTAAAAATGTTGTAGCGCCACTGTTTTATTTATTTGTTGATATCACGCAAGATACCTAATTTTTCGTTTTAAACTACGAAGATTTATTTTTTACTTAAACCCATATTAGTTTTAATATGAACTATTTAAAAAACGATTCCACCGGTCGTTCGTTGTTTAGTATGCATTAAATTTATTTTACTATCTAAGCTGTGGAGTATTTGTTTTCTATATATATAATAAATAATGAAGAAATCTTGGACGAGACATAACGAAATGTGAAAAAAATTGCTTGATTCTAGCGGTCATAAATAAATTATTGTTGCATTAATTCTTGAAATGTTCAAAAAATATGCGTAATTCATTAAATTATCTCTTATAATTGATGAAAAGCATTTGAAATAATGCAATCAATTTGCATCTATATTAAGTAAGGTTTTTATTTAAAATAATCATTATCGTAATACACCCGAAGTTTTCAAATGTAAGAAAGTGTGATACGAGACCTACTTTTACCTATTCAAGTTACCCACGTTACTTGAATAGTTGATATGTAAATATTTGCAAAATATCTTAAATAACCGTTAACGACCGACGACTGAAAAATGTAATTATTTTAACCTTTGTATCTATCTCCTTCAGGTGCCAGTTCGTCTTTAACCACTTTATTAAAAACAAAACTTTTACTAACGATTCAAAACTTTATACATACACTAACAATCTTAAACAATATTTCAACCTGTCCTATGACAAAACGGAAAATATTATAATTGATCAAATAGTTTTATTATAAAATGTTCCGCAGAAATTATTGTCAATTACCGTTAACATCTCAAAATGAAGAGACCAGCTCCCCACGATATAGGGAATCCTTTTTTATTATGTATTATAAAGTTTTTTCTGTTCTTTTATCTATTAACGTTAGAAGTAGAAAGAAAAGAAGCTTTAAACTAGAATAGGTATACGTTTTTATGGGGAACAAGTTTACTCTTTTTTCTAACAATAATATCTTACGTAAGAATGAATTGTTTGTTTCCGAAGTGAATGCTATTAACAAAGTGAATAACAGATTACGTATTCTGAAAGTTATGTGAGGGGATAGTACTTAATGACATAATATTAATTAACTAAACAACTTTAGTGATATAGAAATTAGTGAAATTATTAATTTTAGAGTATATTCCTTATTTGGGCACACAAGCGCTTTTCGCCGCTTATGATTATATGGTAACATGCTGTGACAGGAATTTGCAAGTTGCCTGCCTTTAATTTCTTAAAGGCCGCCATTATGTTCCCATAATTGTAATAAAAAATAATGATTATAAAGACGCAAGTCTGTAAATCCAATTAATAGCCATTTATAAGAGCGTAATAAACAGATCGTAAATTGTCTTTATCACAGCCGTCTAGTAAAAGTGAAAGTGTTGATCGTTCAAGTGACAAAAAAAATACTTTTGGTACGTGTATGAACCGTCGTATACAAACGTGATATATACGTTATTATTTTAGGTAACTAAACTACATTGATCATTAATCTAATATGAACAGGTAAAATAACAGATTTCCCGCGAGTAAAATATTCATTTTCCTAAAAATTGTGTATGAATTTTCACAAGCTCGGAAAATATATAGGAACGGCTTTACTTGATTAGATGTCAGTGGCGAAGATCGTAAACAAAATATGTAAAATACTGCCAAAAGGTCCATTTTTGTATAAGTGGTTGAATTTAGAAAAATATTTAATTCTCTCTTCTCTTGTCTTTGACTTGATACGGTTCTGAATATTTTATAGCCCTTATACCGTTATGAAAAATGAAACAAGTCACACATTTCAAATATTAAAAATTTACAAAAAGTAGAAAGCAATTTAAATCTTTGTCAATCAGTCGTCTGTGTAAAATGAAAACAAAAAAATATTGAGGCGTATTGGGGAATAAAAAATAACAAACAAAGCTTTATGTTTTGCCGCTCCACGAAAAAGTTTTATTTGAAATATACACATTCGCTTTTGCAATGCATATGTAATATATAAAAACCGCCGGTGCTTTTTCGTATTTCGTACGACTAAATTAGTATATGTCATTTTGCTACGTAGAAACTCGATTTATTTGACTTGACTTGTTATCTTTACAACACACCTTTAGAATACCTAAGTTTTTGTAA